AGTGGATGTGGCAATAGAACTAAGAGAAACTGGAATTTGAGACTTTTGAGCCCGATCAAATTTCAATATATCATTGCCAATTTGCCTCATGGAGAGTTTATTGTTAGTCACAAACACAATGACTCCTGTGATCAGAGTAACAATTATAAACATTATGAGAAGAAAAAACAAAACATGAGGGTACGATGTGTTCCACCCTTTCTTTCCCCCGGCTGGAACTTTGTCAAGCAGCATTGGAGGTCGATTGGGCTTCGCCAGCTTGTGTTTAGGTTTTGAGACTCTAATGACTCTTTGGCTATTTCATTTTCATTATACCAGGAAGGACAACTGAGTAGATCAATCACAACATCTTAGCCCCAGTGATACAATCAGCAACACCATAGCATCAAGCACAGGTTAGAAAATGACAATTTGTGGTAGTTATTAATCGATCACATTTAACTGTGTGAATTAAATCAAAACCGAGGACCAGGCCAACATGTGTTTATAGTGAATAAACTTTTCAATATCACAACTTTACCCTTCGGGATGGGGATTTAGAAGGAGTTGGGAGGGAGAGAAAAGTACAAAGATCAGGAAAGAGTAGTGGTGAGGCCAGAAGACACAGGAAGATCACACAAACTCTAAGAAATTGTTAAAGGCAAGAGGAAAAGGTAGAATGAAAGAACAAAGACATGAACAGAACCACCTTCAGGGTATGTCTCTGCTGTCACAGTAGGCAATGTAGGCAGCCATGTGCATATACAAGTCAATGAGTCTCAGCAAGCCAGTAGCAGACCCGTGAGATTCAGGCAGATTTCTGGCTGCTAGTCCCAAGTTGAGCTCCCTGTCCTCCTGCAGGGTTGAACTCTGCAAAGTTGTACTGCAGGTTCCAGTCACCCTTCTCCTGAAGATAGTGCAGGTTCTGATGGGAGGTGATGATCCCTCCAACTTACCAAGTACGGTGGTCTGGTGTGTCTTTATTGTAGAGATTCTCTTTATTTTTCCTCTGAGCTTCAGTTTTTATCGCAGAGCCTGAGAGGCCCTCTTTCTGTTGCTAACTTCTGCTCTATCTTGTGGCGCTCAGGAAAAGGGCCTGTATAATCTCCTGTGCCTCTGTAGTGTGGAACCAGGTAGCAGAAGAGCCAGGAGGCCAGAGAGGGGGTATGGATGACGGGTGTGTGTGTGTGTGTGTGTGTGTGTGTGAGCACGATTGAGCCCTACAGGTGCCTGGATGGCTAAGCAGAGCATGGGATGGGGTGGGGGCTCCAAGCCATACCTGGGTCCTCACTGTGCCATGGGTGGAGCTTGGAATGGAGTGGGGGTGGGTGGGGCTTCATGCTGCCTGGATCCTCAGCTTGGGCTGGTTGGTTGTGCTAAGTGGAGTGTGGGTGGAGTGGGGGCTCCAAGCTGTACCTGGGTCCTCACTGTGCCATGGGCGGAGCCCACAATGGAGCGCGGGTGGGGTGGGGTGGGTGGGTTTAGGGTTGGGCTTCACACTGCCTGGATCGTCAGCTTGTGCTGGTTGGCTGCACTGAGTGGAGTGTGGGATGGAGCAAGGGCTCCAAGCTGCACCTGGGTCCTCACTGTGCTGTGGGTGGAGCCTGAAACGGAGCAGAGAGGGGGCACTTATGAATCATTTTTAATATGAATTTGTTATGCACTTTGATTCATTTAGATAATTTTTATGTCCTCTGAGTAGGAAAATTGTTGTTTATCACTGATCATTGAGGAAGGAAGTTCATCTTTTATTACTTCATAAAATTAACATTTTCAAAAGCTTTCCTCCCTCCTTTCTTCCCCTTCACAGACTAGTTACTTCAAATAACGATTTAATTTTTTGTTATCTTTGCCTGGGCCAGCAGTTTAGGCAATAACCTGCTTTACAACTGAAAGATTCTAGCATGTAGATGATAAAATAATAAAAATAAAGTATGTTTTTTAATACAGCACATTTTACTATTAATGAGCTTTGAAGAATGCCTTCTACATTCTGAAAGAAGACTTTTGGCTTGGATTTTAAAGTGTTCTGAGAATTAAGTATTATCCTATTTCTATAAGCAAGATCAGGTTTACTAAACATGACAAGCTAAATGCTGCTTCACTAATTCTATGTTTATCAATAAATGAAGAGAGTGAGCAAAAAATAAGTAAAAATAAAAAATCAAAAAAGAAACAGAGCAAAGCAACAGTATAAATGAAATGGACTTAACAGACATTTATAGAACATTTCACTTAAAAGCTACAGAATACACATTCTTTTCATCTACAAATGGAACTCTTTCCAGTACAGACCATACGTTAGGCCACAAAAGAAATCTTAGCAAATTTAAAATATTTTAAATCATATCATGCATCTTTTCTGACTATAATGGGATAAAAGTAGAACTCAACAATAAAAAATTTTAGAAATTATGCAAATACACAAAGTGCAAGCAAAAGATCATTAATTGACAAGTCCATCAAAAAATAAAATATAAAGTTAAAAAATCTTCAAACAAATGAAAATAGAAACACAATAATACTGAATTTATAAAATACAGCAAAGGTAATATTAAGAGCATCTTCATTGTAGTAATCACTTATAGTTTTAAAAAGATTTCAAATGAACAAACTAATGATGCATCTCAAGGACTTAGAAGCAAGAAAAACCCAACTCAGAGCTTAATAGAAGAAAGGAAATGATAGACATGCTACCAGAAATAAATGAAATGCAGACTAAATAAAAAATACAAAAAGATAAATGAAATGAAGAGTTTCTTTTTAAAATAAAAGGATCAAGAAAAGAAAGAAAAACTTTTTGGTAGACTAAGAAAAAGAGAGAAGACCCAAATAAATAAATTTAAAGGTGAAAAAGTAGATAGTACAACCAAACCATGGCAGTACAAAACATAATTAGGGATTATTTAGAATAACCATATAATTACAAGTCAGGAGAAATGGATAAATGTCTGGATACATATAACATCAAAACTGAACGCTAAATACAGAAAAAACCTAAACAGAACAATAACAAGTAATGAGATTAAATCAATGATAAAATGTCTCCCAACAAAGAGCATCCCGCAGTCAGAGGGCTTGAAGGCCTAATTTTACCAAACCTTTAGGGAAAAATAAATGTCAGTTCTTTTCTTTCTTTTTATTTTTGGTACTGGGGATCAAACTCAGGACCTTGCACTTGTGAGGCAGGCGACAGAACCACTGAGCTAAATCCCCAGCCCAGTCTTTTCTTTATTTTTTTAAAAAATTATTTTATTAGCAAATGTTTGCAGTATATAATGATTATATTCACTTCAGAGTTGGTACATGTAAACAACACATCTTAATTCTTTTTATGTCTCCTTCCCCTACCTAGGTTCTTCCCTCTCTCCATCTCTTGGTCCCCTTCTCATTTGCAAAAGATCTCTCTCCCTGTTTCCTGCTACCATTTACTTTGCATTTTTATTTATTTATACTTTGGGTTCCTCATATAAGAGAAATCATGAAATATTTAAACCTGTGTGTCTATTTCATTTAACATTTTCTACATGCATCCATTTTCCTACAAATGACTCAAATTTATCCTACTTTATAGCAGAGTAGTACTATACTGTACATGAATACTGCATTTTCTTTATTCATTTATCTGTTAATAGACATAAAGTTGCTTCCAACATATAGCTATTATGAATTATGTTTCTGTAAACATGGCTATACATGTATCACTGTCTTATGATGTCTTTAACTCTTTCAGGAAGATACCTAGAAGGGGAATAGCTGGGTGAAATGGAATTTCTATTTGTAATTTTTTTGATGAGTCTCCATATTGCTTTCCACAGTGGGTGTCCTAGTTTACATTCCAACCAACAATGTAGACTGGCCCCCCAATCTCACCAGCATTTGTTCATATTTGATTGCTTGATGATAGGCATTCTTTCTGGAGTAAGATGGAATCTCAGTGTTGTTTTAATTTGCATTTCTTTAATGTCCAGAGATGCTGAGCATTTTGTCATGTATTTATTGGCCATTTGTATTTCTTCTGAGAAGTGTCTATTCATTTCAGTTGTCCAGTTTTTGATTTGGGTTTTTATTTTGGGAGGAAGGTCTGGCATTTTTGTGTTCTTTATATATTCTAGGTGCACCTGGCAAATTTTTTTTCCCCATTTTGTAGGTTGTCTCTTCACTCTGTTGGTTATTTCCTTTCCTGTGCAGAAGGTTTTTAATTTGATATAATCCCATTTGTTTTTTCTTGATGTCATTTCTTGTGCAGTTGGGGTTCTATTCAGATAAAGGGAGGTTGAATTTGACCAGTGCAAGCTGTACACATGTGTAGAAACATTATACTGAACCTCATTAACAGATATAATTAATACCTAGTAATAAAAATAAAATAATATAATTATTGAAAAATTCACAAATAAACTTCAAATATACTTAATTACATTTGACATAGAGAAACTACAAAATATGCAGTACTCAAATAAAAATATGAGTTTAAAGATGAAAGTAATCACAACTTCTGAGTTATTTTAGATTATTAACCAAAGAAGTTATGTTAAAAGATTGCAAGGTAAGGGGCCAGGGATTTAGCTCAGTGGTTTCACTGCCTGCTGCGCAAGTGCAAGGACCGGAGTTTGATCCCCAGTACCTAAAAAAAAAAATGATTGCAAGGTAAGGCTGGAGATTTAGCTCAGTGGTTCAGCTGCCTGCCTCGCAAGCACAAGGTCCTGAGTTTGATATCAGGTACCTAAAAAATTAAAAAATAAAAAAACCCAAGATACACAAAGATTGCAAGGTAGAACTCTCACTTAGCATCAAGGAAAAAATTTGAGATCTTTATCACATGTACCAATTCTCTACAACTGCTATGAAGGAGTTAACATTTCAACAACTTCAGAGGATAAAGCATAAGAATGAAATTTGTGTAAGTCTCCATCACTATTTGCTTGGGGTTTTTTTGGGGGGGAAAAAACTTGTCCAACAGTCACTAGCTTTTTGTTATAGTTTAGATAGAAAATGTCCCCCAAAACCCTCTTGTGCTCATCAGCACTGCTTCTGGGGGTGATTGTAGCTGATTTGCTATTGGGAAGTGGGTCACTGAGAGAATGACCTGGATGGGAACATCTCCCTTCCGGACACCTCACTTCTCTCTGTGCTTCCTGGATGCCATGATGTGAGCAGCTTTTCCTCTGGTATGAACCTCTGCCATCCTGTTCCTGCCTTGGAGCTGGCTCACCATGGGGTATAACCATGAACCAAAATAAGCCTCTCCTGCTTTGTCAGTGTTGGGTATCTTGTCACAGCATTGAATGAAAGTGACTAAGACACTTATTGACTCCTCCTTACTGAAAACTAAGCAATCATATTTTTAGATAAATTGAATAATGCACATCAGAGTAAAATTGCTTCTTTTGGTTCAAGGGTGTGCCACAATTCTCTATTTCCTTCAGTTAACCTTTTTTTAACTTTTAAATTTTATTTTATTGGTACATTTTAGGTATACAATATAATGAAATTCATCATTGGAAATTTGCATCTTTAAATAATCTTTCTTGGTTCTTATTTTTCCCCCATCCCCTGCTCTCCCTTCAACCCCTCCATCCCTATTTGCAAAGACTTTCTTTCCATTTTTAAATTTTCTCATATTAATTCCATTCCCTTCTTTCCTTTCCCCTACCCCTCCAACTTCCCCTTCCTCTTTGACCCTTTTCTTCCTATTTCACATTATCTATTATAAGTTTTAGTCCTTGTTTATACTTTCAGTTTCTCACACTAGAGAAACTATTTGGTATTTACACATGTGTGTCCTATTTATTTCACTTAAGAGTATTGCCTCGGGCCAGGGATTAAGCTCAGTGGTTTCACCACCTGCTGCGCAAGTGCAAGGACCCTAGTTCGATCCCCAGTTCCAAAAAAAAAAAAGAGTATTGCCTCAATGTGCATCCATTTAGCTATAAATATCTCTAACTTCTCACTTTTTATAGCTGAGTAGTACTCCATATTATAAAAAAACCACATTTTCTTTATCCAGTCTCCAGTTGATGGGCAATTGGGCTGCTTCCAAATTTTAGCTGATATGAACATGGGTGCACATATATCACTGTGGTATGATTCGTTTAATTCTTTGGGGAAGATACCCAGCAGGGGAATAGCTAGGTCAAATGGGACTTCCAGTCCTAGTTCTTTGAGGTATCTCCGTACTGATTTCCACAGTGGTTGCATCAGTCTACACTCCCACCAGCAGTGGAGCAGGGTTCCTCTTTCCCCACAGCCCCAC